GGTGCACTGGAAGGGACTTCTAGACAGTGTGGTGAACTGAGAACCAACAGAGGACTTATGGCAGTTTGGAGACCAGATTAGGTAGTACCATGCAAAGGACATAATGAGGGTGATGCGCAATCAAGTGGGGGAGAATGTCACACCTTGGACGGGTGTGCCAGAAACATCTGGTGCATAAGCACATGAGCTAGAAGTTAAGGCCCGCACACTAGGCGCGCTGGGTATTTGCATGCAAGGCCTAGGAGACAAGGTTAGAACACCCGCCCAGCTTGCAGGCCAGCCTGTGAGGCCAAGGCCTGGCCTGTAGGCTGCCCATACTACATCTTAAGGGGCCCAAGGTGGGAGATACGTAAGTGAATCTTTTGGAAGCTTGCAGGATCAGCAGGAGCCTTCTGGCAGATTTGATTGACCTTAAAATTCAAGAGTTAAAATCTTGATTTATTTTAATCTTTGTAATTCCTTGATTTTAGCCTTTATTCTAGGGATACTGCCATTAAGTGTAGCTGGAGCCTCAACTATAAATAGAGGGCTACTCTACCCTCATTTGTACACCATCAAACACTTCTATTTTAGTGAATACAGAGCATATTTCTAGCATTTTGCCTTCTTATCCTATTTCTCTTTAACTTGCGTAATCATCCCTTCCTATTGTTTTAGTGCCTGCACACTTGTGTTTTAGGCTAACTTAGGCATAAAGGAGGAGATTCCAAGCCTAAGGCCGAACTGATTCTGAGTGTAAGTTCAGAACCTGTGACACCCACACCAAGGGCCGACTTGTGCCGATGGTGGTCGAGGCATGTGCCCGCACCAAGGCCTAGCTCGTGTCGATGGTGGTCGAGGTAACCGCCACACCAGCTCGAGGCATGTGCTCGCACCAAGGCCCAGCACGTGCCGATGGTGTTCAAGGTAACTACCCGCACCAAGGCCCAGCATGTACCGATGGTGTTCAAGGCAACCGCCTATACCAGGGGCCATCTTCTATCGATGGTGATCGAGGCAACCGCCCGCACCAACGCCCAGCACGTGTCGATGGTGTTCAACATAACTGTCCACACCAGGGGCTATCTTTTACCGATGGTGGTCAAGGAAAGTGCTCGTACCAAGGGCCGACTTGTGCCGATGGTGGTCGGGGCATGTGTCAGCACCAAGGCCCAGCACGCACCGATGCTATTCGAGGCAACCACCCGCACCAAGGCCTAGCATGTCCCAATGGTGTTTGAGGCAACCGTCCGCACCAGGGGCCATCTTCTGCCGATGGTGGTTGAGGCAAGTGCCCGCACCAAGGGTCAACTTGTACCGATGGTGCTCGAGGTAACCTCTCGCACCAAGGCCTAGCATGTGCCGATGGTGTTTGAGGCAACCGCATGGACCAGGGACCATTTTCTACTGATGCTGATCGAGGCATGGCCCATGCCGATGGTGGTCCAGGCAAGTGCTTGTACCAGTGGCTAGCTTGTGACGATGGTGGTCGAGGCATGTGCCCGCCAAGGCCCAACACGTGCCGATGGTGCTCAAGGTAACCTCTCGCATTAAGGGCCATCTTCTATCGATGCTCATCGAGGCATGCATGTGTCGATGGTGCTCGCGGTAAGTGCCTGTACCAAGGGCAAGCTTGTGCTGATGGCGGTCGAGGCAAGTGGGTTGTACCAAAGGGTAGCATATGCCGATGATGGTCGATGCATATGCCATCACCATGCACCATCATGTGCAGTTGATGGTTGAGGCCTTGGCTGAAGTTTGATTTTGAGCGACGGTGCACATGTTGGGCTCAGGCATGTGTTGGTGCCGTATTTTTTTTTCTCGGGCACCATCGTCGGAGAACTTGACCGACGGCATTGGGGGTTCCAGTAATTGGGGGGCCGGGGGTGTGCGCATATGATGTACGATGGGTGCTGGTACTTGGCCCTTATATTGGCCCCTTATCCCTCAACAAACCTCGAGAACTTACACTCTCTTAAAGAGCATATGAGATTTTACAAGTTTGCTATCGGTAGCCATTCGAGTATCTGAAATGAGGACACTTTTTTCGAATGGTCACAAAACCTTCTACACTTCGAGTTTTTAGCTGAATTTTTTTATGCATGCAAAAAAAATACAAGGATCACGTCTACCAAATTTGCGGCCAAAGCTCCTTCCAAAACAATTTTAAAAAATCCTGAACCGTAAAAAATTTTGAAAATCATGAAAAATAGAAAATGAGTCATCTTGCCATGAAACTTCACATGAAGGCTTAAGGAACCATTGTATGAATTTACAAGCCATAAAAATTACATTGGCATGGTAGATATATGAAGATGTGCCTAAACCCACCTACCACCCGATTGTGGCATGCATGGTGCTCGGCTCGGGCTCAGGACACCCACGTGTGGTGTGCGGGCACTGGGGAGTGCTCATGTGAATTCACAGGCCATAAAAATGGTATTGGCATGGCAAAAATATGAAGATGTGCCTAAACCCACCTACCACTCAATCGTGGCGCGTATTGGTGCTCGGCCCAGGCTCAAGACACCCGCACGTGGTGCGTGGGCATTGGGGAGGGCTCATATGAATTCATGGGCCATAAAAATGGCTTTGGCATATGGAGTTCTTTCCCAGTCTAAGCTTCGATCGGACCGACAGTTGTGGTAACAGGACCCGCAGTAGGATCGACAGCACGAAGACGGGAACCCGATCGATCCTCAACTTGTGCATCCTGCCTCTTTGGCAAGCGTAGTGCCCCGCCAACTTGTTTCGTAGGTTGATTTAGGCATACATAGTTCATTCTGGTCTAAGATCGAACCAGACTGAGGGTTGTGGTAGAAGGACCCGCAGAAGGATCGGTAACACGTAGTAGAGGGGATCGGGTAGATCCTTAGCTTACGTATCTTACCTCTCTGGTTGGCTAAGTGCCCGTACGCTTGTTTCATAGGTTGACTTAGGCATACGGAGTTCATTCCTAGTCTAAGCATTCATTCC